AGCCAGCATGTTTAGAATATTAATTAGGTAGGAAATCACATCTCTGTTTGTAGGCGCTACTTATATACGGCTTTTCTTTGCAGTGGAAAGCCAATGATTGCTCGAGGATGGGTTGACCTAGATCGGGAGCAATGAAATTGTGGCCTTTCAGATGTTGCTGAACTGCTCCCAGCATTCCTCCACCAGGCTGAGCTGAGCTGAGCTGAGCTGAGCTGCTCGGAATTGTAATTGCAACCTCTAGAAGGCCCCCCACCTTCCTATCCCTGCAGTAGAGAAAATGCAGATATGAATTCTTGGTCTGATTTTGATCTCACTCTGTCCCCCAGAGCTGGGGTGCTGGTGAAAAGTACAGCATTATTATAAAAGGACTGAATCAAATTTGGAGGGACTGGTAGAGTCAATCTACAGGGGTTCTTTATTTATAAGACAATTTTGATGGCAGCACGTGCTGTTATTCTGGTATGGTTTGAAGGCTAATTTTCAGGATTATATGAGAAACTGGATATTCTCTGTAGGACTGCAGCTTCCAATTCAGAATAGAAATTCAATCTGGTGTATTTTAATCTGGTGATATTTTAAGCCCCAGGATATGTTGCAATGTGGCTTGAAGGATAGTTTCTAAATGATTTTTTTTTTGTTCCTGTTTCCCATCACTTCCATGCTTTAGTGGTGTTATGTTTATTTATTTATACCTATTTATTAGATTTGGAAAGCTTCCCTACTCCCAAATGACTCTGGGCACCTTACATAGTTAAAAAAGAAGGCTTGTAACGTAAAGAATGGGGCAGAGAGTGAGGGGTGTATGACATATTTGGGGTCCTCATAAAAGTTGGGGGACAGCATTGCAAAGAATATTATGGTTGGAAGATGAGAAGCTTTCTCTCCCTTTTGTAATGGATAAAGCCATAGAAAGTCTGTTGTTTCATCTAAAACTACCATTGTAGAAAGAAGGAAAAAATCAAGTAAGATTTCAGGAAATCTCTTCCTTATGCTCTGCTACAGCAAAAGTTAGAAAACGAGAGAACAATGACATACCTTTATAAAATAGCATGTAAATCTTACAGTTCTGTGTAAGACCAAATGGCTTTACTGTCCTTCAAGAGTAATTCCATTTGTGCCTCCTATTTTGTTTGTTTCTACAGCAGTCAACACAGCAGTCATGATGATGATCCTCGACTTCTGAGCCCCCGACTGCGTGATGACAGGTAAGTAACTGGAAGAAGGGATTCACTGATTGGGTATACAATAAGCACCCTTTCCCAACCTGGCACCCTGAGACATGTTGGCATTCTTCCCCTTCTGATCCAGAAAAGTCCAGAAGAGGGCAACATCTGCTTTCTTGGTGTGTTCTTCTCCAACCTTGGAGAAGGGAATCTGAATACAAACCCTGTCTGCAGTCCAGTTTCCAGTTTGTAATTATGGTTTGAATGAATGGAAGGCATTCCAACATTTCATAAAGAGAGGAAAATAACACAGTTTTACACAATGCAAAGTACAGGGAAGACTTCTCTTACAGTACATTCCAACCCTGAACGTTTTATAGATCTGCTTGTCCTATTTTCTAAAACTAAGCCAAATAGTTATATTGGATAAGAAGGAAATAGTGCATATATGCTCATCCTTCTCTCCAAATACCATAGTTTCCCAAAAGGAAAAAAACAAAAACAAAAACCCAAAACCCCTCTTTCCCTCAGTTCAAAAATTTCAACAAATTTTCAGCAATCTTGCATCTCTTAGTCCGTATGGTGTCCATTCTTTCTATGGAGCTTCCATAGAAAATGTGAGTGGGTGGGATATTATTTGTAGGAAAGCAGTGATGGCTTCAGCAAGTTTTCAGTTGGAAGCATTCTACAAATTCCAACTTGATACTGAAATAAAATGACTATAGACTAAAACAATTATGCAGTCATCACATGACTGTGAAGTGTTGTTGAATAGTTGACTCGTGTATATATGTGCTCTCAATGCGCACTGCAGTTGAGTGTCTAGTGGAACTGTTAGGCAGAGTGTTTGTTCTTGGGATTGCACTTTACTGAACTCACTGCATCTGCAAAAGGATCTGAGAAAAGTGCAGAACAATCCAGGGACTGTTGCTTTGGTTGGCCTGCTGAAGTAGCATGTAGTTCTTTAATGCACAGTAGTCCAGGGCACCTGGGATATAATGCTGGGCTGGTGCAATCTGGGAAAAATGATTTCTGTTCTTATCTGGTAAAATTTCTATCTCTGATATACTGATATAATACTATGCAATGTGTAGTGTTCTGTTGGTGCCTTCCCTTCCGTTGACTATCTTCTCCAGTGATGCAAAGTGCTAACATTGATCTTTGTCCAATTGTTGATCTTCATATTGACCAAATCCTTTTACTTCTCTCCCCACTACATAATTTATGTTAAGCCACAGGCTCTGAGTTATATTTACTCATACATATTCTTTGACTCTCCGGCAGTAACCTGTTCATCTAGTACCTAATATGATATAAAGGCCTCAATGAATTGCTGCTCCTTTTAGTAGACCAAGACAACTGCAATCTTGACATAGAAGAACCATCTCTTCAGTTAATGCTTGCTTGCTATTTATTTATTTATTTATTTTTCAGATTTATATATGCCATCCATCTCACTATACAAGTGACTCTAGGCGGTGTATCCTCAGTTTCTGAAAATGACTGTACCACTATATTGTATGTTGTATTAATACAGATGTTGAACAGGTTTCCCAATGATCCAGGTGTTGCTGAGACTGCAATTTCCAGAATTCCCTGCATGCCTACCTCTCTTATACTACTTTGAAGTGTTGGCCCTCACCGCTGTAATAGTCCTCATTTGCAGCAGGTTACTCATTTTCTCTTGGTGCCCTCCCAGGCAGATCTAGACTGGTTTTCTAGCGGGGGTTGTAGTGTTCCTTGTCTAGCAGGTTAGTTTAGCTGTGAGAATTGATTCCCCTGCAGATGTTCCCCTTTTTGTGCTGCAACCAAAAGCCTGTTCATCTTCAAGTCCTAAATCCATAGCTGAGGCCATCACAGCAGGTGGCAACCCCCAGCTGAACTGAGCCATGTTATACCTGGTTAGGACTTGAGTAGAAGACCACCAGAAATCCTCAGGGATGAAAGCTAGACTAGGAAGCTAAAAAAATATCCAGGAAGAAGACAAAAATAATAAGACATTTTTGTATTGTCAAGAGAACCACGTGCTTCCATAGCCACCAGTAGCTGAGCTCAGTTCAAGAAATTCTTTGTTGTTGTTGTTCAGTCGTTAAGTCGTGTCCGACTCTTCGTGACCCCATGAACCGTATTGCGCCAGG